GTTCAATTAAAACCGATGAGCCGAACGAGATCCGACGAACATGGCATCCGAGGGGCCTCAGCGTCCTCGGACTCGGCGTCCTGAGGCCTCAACGGAGGTGTGACACCAATGCCACTGATCGAGGGCGAAGGGACAGACAAGGCCGGGAGGGCAAGGCGATGAGCTTGGCTGAGCGCAAGGCTCAAACAGTTCACGACGACCTGGGGGATTTGTTCTACCAGATTTGACCAATTTCTTTATGAATGCATCTGAGCACAGCACTTTGGGCCCTCAGATCTCGAGAACTGCAGGTCTTGAGCGTGATGAAGCGTGTCCGAAGTGCAGTGAGGAGGTCGTGCGATGCTTAGCCACCCAGCCCCGCGCCTCGGAAAGAATACCAGTGAGCAAGAGCCACGCCGTACAGAGTTAGCACCGGCCGATGGTGGCGAGCACGACGCCCTTTCCACCCGACCGCGCGGTCGTGTGTTGGATCGGTCACTTGGGGATTTCAACTACAGCGGCCGCACTAAGCACCACTGACCTTACTACTAGCATGTTTTCTTCAATTTCGTGTGGTAGCCCTGTTGGACCGGTAGACACCTCCTCGCCTCACGGTTGCACATTCTTCTTCACGCCTGAGGCGACAGAGCCCCGACCAGCTTTTCAAGCGCTTTTGCAAGGCTGGCGGCACTGGAGCACCTTGGCTGAAAGATGCCATCAAGAAGAGTGGGTTCAATCGTTTTTGCCGCTCCAGGATTTTTGATCCTGAATGCTGTTGGTGTGTGGTTTGTCCTTACGATGATCTTTCGCTGAGACATCATCCCGCATGCGTGCAAAAAGGCGTGTCGCGTTTGCTTCCCCGTGTTGCAGGCGCTAGTCGTTGGATGTCGTTGGCGTTCCAGGTCTCTGGTATGACCGACCCCAGTTTCGAAACGACCCAGGTCTCTGGCCTCATCATGACCCGGTCCGACTTCATTCGAGTGCGCTGCACTGAGCAGGGCTGTCAAGTAAGCGGAGGTGGACAATCGACCCGAGTCCCCGGACAGCGGAGCCCAATCGACCCGGGGAAGCGAAGGGCAAAGGGGGATGGTCCAGTGAAGCGAGCCTTGCAAGAAACAGCAGGACAATCCAGGAGGATGTGATTGGCCTTGGCCAACTTGGCGTTCAATTGAGATGTGGGAGTGCCGAAATCTCAGGCTTGGCACCTTTGAGCCACACTTGGAGCAGGCGAGCATTCTGGGTCGCATGGTGGGGATGAAGATCAAGCAAAGACTCGAACGTTGTGGGTTGGTGTTGGTTTTTGCGCCACCTAAGTGCTCTTGTTGCAAGACGTGCTCCCAGGAGATGGTGATCCGATTGTGGCAGCATTTTCTTTCCCAAGGTCGAGTTCTTAGATCGGCAATTTTGCCCCGTGAAGAACCCTGCGAGTGCATGTGCACATAAGCGTACACCATTTGTTAGGATTCTCATACGTAGAGTCTTCCTGGTCTTAGCCCACATTTTGCATGTTTGCACATAGATGTTAGCAACCTAATTTAATTACACCGGATCTTTCTGCTATCCCTGCTCCACACACCCTGAGGCAATGGGGAAGATGGCCTGAACTTCACAGAGTTCCAGCGCTGGTTCGTCAATGGGGACAGGGTCAAACGAAAGCGGCTGGGTGGAACCAAAGACCAGGGCACTGTGCGGCATTCGTTCAAAGGAGGTGAGGCTAGTTAAACCCCAGGGTAGGTAGAAGGGTATGGGTGCAGGGTAGGTGCAGTTGGGTGAACGGGCCAGGTCCGTGAATTCGCCTTGGGCGAATGGAAGTATCGAAGAATTTGCTCAACTTGGCGCACACAGAGCACCACTATCCGTCGCAGGAGGCCTTGGGAACGTTGTCACGCACTGGCAGCCCGAAGCCCCGGCTCAGCGGGGTTCTGTAGGGGCTCAGTGCCAGCGAAGTGGACACCGCAAAATGTGCAGCTAGAGGCTCTGGGGCCGAGATGAAGCTGAAGACTGAAGACAGTGGGCTTACTCCCAACACACTCTGAGCAACAAAGCTGGCTACCCGTACAGCCCCAAAAAGTGCATTACGTACACTTACATAATTACATACTACACACTCAGGCTCAGTCTCAGGATTTCTGTAAGGTGTGGACAGTGTTCTTGATGTGGCTATGATGTGTGGATCGTGAAGGCAGTGCCACATCTTTGAGCTTCTCTGCTGTCAACGGATTTGCCTGGAGCTCAACATCCGAAGCCATGCCCCTCCTGGCGAAACAAACCAGCAGCTTCTTAGCTCCAAAACCTTGTCACAGGATAACGACTAGGATTTTGATCAGTTTTTTTCCAGTGCGGTGCTTGTGACTAACATGCGACTAGCCTTGATGCGAGACAGAAAGTGTTTCAACCAGCGCGCAGTGGTTCACGAATCATGGGCATAATTTGCAGGGAGCTAGAGCACGTGTGGACTATCATCGACGCGTGCACACACACACACACACATTCACATCCTTACTTACTAAGTTTGAAACAACCAGTCAAACCTGAGGACGCACAGCCACATTTCGCGCCGTACCCGGAGCTTGACCGCGCATTGTCCCCGCCTTGGCCGTGCAGACTGACTTGCATCTTGATTTATGTCTCTCTCCAGCCTGATCAGCTTTATTCATTTGTCTGATGACAATTGTGTACCACCTGCTCCTGATCAACTCATGAACCGGCTCCATCCAGCTCCGGCTGCGGCTGCGGCTTAACTTTTTAACCAGGTTACATGCCAATGTTGGCAGAGGTTCCTTGGTAAGATGCCCTGCTTGGCTCAACATATTGCATTTGTCGCCAACAGCAGCTTGCCAGGATCTGCATAAATGCATTGCTGTAAGGGTTCTGAGAAGCTCTTCATTAGGCTGTTCAGATGTGTTTCCTCTTCTGTGCCTTTTCTTGTCAATAGGCTCCCAGAACGATTTGGAGGTCTCCACACCCCACCAATTGGTGAGAATTCGGTGCGATTTGGCTCCACTGAGCCATAAGGAAGTGTAGAGACCCCCCAGCGCCCGAGGACGGCTCCTTGCTCATCTGCTTCGCCTCTTTTAGGCGGAGATGGGTGCCGGGTGCCGATCTTTGTTGATTGGGCCACGAACATGGAGATGGCGTCCACTTGGTGGATGTGGTTTGGGTGTGCGTTGCTGCTTTCAGGAGGTCTAGAGTCTCCAGCGCACATGGGCGCACCATGAGACGGGTGTTTATGTTTTCCGAGTGCTGTGGAGTCCTTCTCTTCTTGAAGCCCTTCTTGGAAAAAACTTCACTGAAATGTTGTCCAGGTGGTGGACACCTTGTTCTTCTTTTGGCTCAAAATTTCGGAATCTCACGGTTTGACTCGTGCAACTCGTCGTGCAACTCATCGGTTGGACGAGAGCCCCTCACCCCCGGGCTCACCGGGCGCCACGGTCGGCTTCGTCCGGCTGTTGGGGAGTTCGTTAAACGGAGTGTTCGTTTCCCTGAAGAGGCCTTCAGGTCCTTCAAGCCTCCTAGGCTTTGCCTTCCAGAGTCATTCATCAAGGGCCTTTTCCGCCAGGGCGGCGGCATTCACGACCTCCCTTGTCACCCACGGCGCGTGGTCCCTCAGCGATCCGGGCTGAACAGAACAGTGGACCCAGGGTGATAGGTCGGATCCGGCATTGTTCCATCATTCTTCCAACGGTCAGGGAGTCACTGCCAGTGTCACTGCCTGCACTTCGCATCGAAATCCGCTCCAGAAGTTGTAGCGCTCCATGATCGACTGTCACGTGCCAACTGTTGCATGTGTGAGGACGCCAGCCTACTTTGCCAACATGGGGCAAGGCTGGGTAAACAGCAGGTTTTTTGCATTTTGGGGTGCGTGCTGCGGGTTTCAAAAAAGGCCTCATCGAAGCACCTGCATCAAAAGTGCTATGACATCCCCACTTCCAGGCAACGTGCGTCTGCTTTTTTGGAATGAGAACCCACGGGGCAATGTCATCACAAGCCAGCACCACTCTTACCACATGACCAGGGCGAGAGGGACGAAGGAAAGGCTTTGAGCAATTTGCGGCCATGGCGCAGGTTCTATGACTTTGCCCATCCCCAGCCGCAGTGGATCCCAGCACTCCTTGGAGGTCTATGGCGGGGAGGCGGGCTTTTCTTCTTCACTGGGCAGAGCAGGGATGGTCACTTTGTCACGTTACCGACATAGAGGCAAACATAAGAAGCTACTAGGGGCTCCTGGCCTTACTACTAGGAGCAAGGACGCTACTAGGGGCTCCTGGCATCGCTACCAGGAGCAAGGACGCTACTTGGGTACTAAACAAGTTGGGTATCGAAAAGTGGTACTCAATTAATCCACAGCTCTGCAACGACCCGTTGGCTCAACCGCAGATGGCTCCTTTGCGCGTCTCCGATGACATGCCACTGATCGCAACACTTGTGCGCTTAGGTGCCAGGGGCGGTTGGGAAGGGTGGCACATGGTGGCACGACTGGGCCATTGAATAGATAGGCCTTTAGCGTGTGTGCATGAGTGAAGCCAGCTTTGGTTTGGACTCCTTGGGTTTCGGAGGTCGGGGGCTGGCTTCCGAATCCTTGACTGTTGTGGGCGCCTTAGAGGACACAAAGGAGAACGCCGTATGGGATCTCAACAAGCCCCTTCCACAAGCCCTTCCACAGCCAGGACGAAGGCATTTCCGTTCAACGCAGGTCAGTGAGAGAATTGGATTGCAGGGAGGAAGACCCTTCAGCTTTGATTGACTAGCTTCACTCAGGCTGGTGCTTTTGTGCTGTATGATGAGCATTTGGAGAAGATGCTTTATCCTCAGCGCTCCGCAAGAAACTGACCGAGATTGATCACAATGACTAAGTCCAAGTGAGAAAGTGGGATAGGGGAAATGATAGCTTAAGCAGGAGATACAGCCTTCCCTTCCTTTTTGGGAGCATGCTTGTCCAATCACTCAGGTTGAGCTTGGACAAATTTCTGGAGGCTCTGAGCAGCATTATGACAAGTGATGATAAACCGTGGATTTCATGCTTCGAACTTCGATCTGTATTCTCTTTCAGGGACGCCCCATGGTGTCATATTGAATAATGTTAGTGAAAAACATCAACAAAACCCAAACTACTGCATTCTTTAGCCAATCGGGCTGGGTGGGGTCCAGTGTTGGTGAAAGCTGTTGTGATTTGTCCATTATCCATGCGAGTCATGGACAATAATTTACTTTGCTGAGCTAGCCTGGGCCTGGGCCGGGCGGTCAATGGCCTTTTGGGGGTTCCACTTGTTTGGCTCATACAAGTGGCGCCAGCTCACATGGAGAGATCAACTTGCCTGCGGCTTCTTCTATTTGCGATTGGGTGCTCAGCTGACTTTGTGGCACAGCCTCCAACATGCCAAAGCGAGGGGCAATGCTCTTCGCTCTTTTCGGTGAGAGCATGCGGGAGTCCAAGTCTCATCGAAGAGGCACTTGTTCCAGTCACGATGACGCTGGAGCTTTGTGCTGAAGTCTGTCGGCAAACCATCAGCTGTAGGTTCTTCACGTTGGATGGACAGACATGTCGGAGCTTCTCAGCCTGCAAGGATACAGGTGAGAGTACAGAGGTGCATGACGTGCACGAGCTCCCCTTGAACCCTGCGCGTTGCGGGTGGGACTTCGAGGCAGAGCGCCAGGAACAAGCTCACCTAGCACAGGTGGCCGCTACTTTGGAAGGCTGGTTGATCACGCTAAGTAATTCTTCGAGATTGCACACTGCATGTCCTGCACCCTGCCACCTTCAAAAGATTTCAGTTTTAAATCCATTGGGTAGGTGGGCATAGAATAGATGGTTTCATCATGTTTCATGCCGAGGCGGTGCCCTCCAGCAGCTGTTAGCAGATGCTTCGTTACACCACGTGCAAGCACCTCATTTTGCCGATTGCCCCGTGGGTGGTGCAGCCATCCGAGTTCTTCATGTTTGGGCGGCTTCATCTTACCATCATGGCTGGAAAGCATCGGTGGCCTTTGCCACGGAAGCTCCTGAGTTGCCGTTTGCACCGGAGCTGCGCTTGCTGTTGGATGTGCCATGGGTCTCCCTTGGCCAAACGCCCTGGGCCAAACCATTCTTTCAGACTTTGGCGCAGATAGCAGTTGCCCTCTGCCGCCGCCTGGAGAATGGGCGCCGGCCTTGTTTGAGCAAGGCACGCCCACACTGCGATCCACCGCGTGCCTTACGCAGAGTGAAGCGTGGGAGAAGCAAGGAGGATCTGGGAGAAGCCCAACGGTTAATCAGCCAATGTGCGCCAGGCAATCGGTTGTCTGAGCTTTTGCGTGCCAAGGGAATCTCAGGACTTCTGCACCGGCTGGCTCAGCTGGCACCAGATGCTCCCGAAACCTCGAAGGACTCCCCCCAGCCTCTTTGGGCACCTTGCCAGGGAGAAGCACAAGCTTTGCGGCTTTCGTCTCTGGCGGTGCGCCAGGAGATCATTCACAAGGAGCTGGCGGCCATCGCCCTCGCAGCCTCCGGACGAAGCTGTGGAGTCCATCGAGTCCATGGTCAGAGGGTTCGACAGGTGGATCTCCTGGTTTTTGTGGAACGCTTGCATGCATCTGAGCAAGTGAGTGGCTTCTTCAATGAGATCACTGAAAACCGCTGTGAGATGGATGTGTTCTCCCATTTCCACCGAGTTTATTGCATTCAGCCTGGATGGCTCCACCTGGCCTTTGTGACCTCAGGGCTTTTGATCCACCCTCCCTATGGGCCTGGCACTTGGTCTTGTTTTCTACCTGAGAAGGCCAGTGAAGTTCAACTGATCGATCCGGTCACTTGGACGATCACTTGTCTCGTTTTGGTCACCCTTCTTCCAACGAATGGCAGCGTACTGCCGCATGTGCCGAGGTGTTGTGGCAAAGGCCTTTGCAACTGAACCTTGGCTTCGTCGATGTGCCGGTGAAGCGCTACCGATTTACTGCTTGCCCGCAGCCCTTCTACAGGCTTCAGACCAATCAGCAGTTGGTGCAAGACTGGCTTGAGTACCATCGAAGCATGGGAATTGAGCATTGGACAATCTATGACTTGGATGGGACAGGTGCTGAGTTCCTGTCTAATCTCCCCGACACTTGTCGTGCCAATCAACTTGTTACGTTGAGCTGCTCACTATTAGAACAGCTTAGGCACCAGGTCACTAGCACTTGGGCACTTCCACCTTCTGAAATGCAGATTTTGAGGAGAGTGTAGCCGATTGAGCGGGCCGATTTCCAGGACCGACTGACTGCACCAGTTCCAACGGATGGGTGCCCAGGTCAGGACTCATGTACTCCCACTTGTCGCGGGCACAGAGCTTACATGAACTTACCAAAAGGAATTCACACTTGCATTGAGCTTGCGGTTGCAAGTTTTATGTTCACAAAAATTCCCTAAAATGTTCCACCGGGACATTTAGGCTCAAGTCGGAGGGCAACCTCGAGTGAGTTGCCAACGGTGATTCGCAAAACCCACCCACCACTCCCTTTGATGGCCGGAGTCGGGGGAGGAGCCCCCGCGGGACGACTGGCTGATCCAGTGAAACCACCGGACCTGGTACCGGAGGCCCTGCAGGATCAGATCGACCCCCTTAAACCCCTGGAGCTGATCCTGGTCTCGAAGCAGATTCCCTGGGTAGTTCAGGCTCGCTTGGCCCAGGATGGCTACGTCACGGTGGAAGACTTGGGGGATAGATGGACCCCACCAGAAGGCGCCAACACCCAGGGTCCGAGAGACCTCCAATTTGAAGACGGCCAGAACGGCTTCAACGCCAACACCTCTCGATTCACCGCTATGCGGCTGTTACAGGCGGTCCGGGTAGCGAAGTCTGTCTTTCAGACCAACCTCCAAATGGGCCGTCCGACCGCCACAGAACCCCCAGGCATCCGTAAGGGCCCTTTGGACACGCTCTGTGATCGACGGATCCTTGAAGAGGCTTATGCCACCGCCTACAAGTGCCTCAAACCCAAACTGGAGACACAGGGGAGCGATGCTTACCTGAAACGCCAGTTCCGACACATCGCAGCTGGGGAACTCGGACACATCCAGTCCAAACACATTGTGGGGGCCCTCCCGGAGGATGGGGAACGGCCCATCAAGACCACACGGAAGGTGTCTGTTGATGGCTGGGACCGGGCAGATGAAGAAGAGACGAGGGCTGACCCCAGAACTCGCCACCAATTGGAGCGCATGCACATGGTCTTCCGAACCACGCTGTTGATGCGCATTGCAGGTCAGCCCCAGTTTGCCCACCTGCACATCACTAAGGACGCACTGGAAGAATGGTACGACTGGTTTTATGGGGAAGACATTGCGGGTCGACGACCCCCCGTCGGACCGAGTCCTCCACATTGCGGAACGCAATGCCTGGCGTAAGATTCATGACCTGGTCCACTCAGGTACCTCCCTGACTGAGGCCCTTTCCAGGCTCCGTAACGACCACCTGTTTTGGCAGAGAATACTGCAACGACACGCCCAGACCCACTGCCAAAGGGGCGGGCAAGACTCGGGGGTCATGGGCCACAGTCTGGCAGACCCAATGGGGCAAACTCTGCAGGGGGCAAGGACAAGGGGCGTGGCATGAAAGGCGGCAAGAGCGCCTCCAAAGGTAGGCCGGCCATCAAAGGGCAAGTCCAAGGGACAGTGGCCCGATGCATGGGCCTTCAAAGATCCAAAGGGCAAAGCCTTCTGCAGAGACTACCACCTGACGGGCACATGTCCAGGGAGTTGCGGGCGCTCCCACAACTGCCCAGTCCGCCAAGGGGGATGGGTGTGCAATGCCTCCCCGGACAAGAACACTTCAGAGAAGCGTCGACACCTGACCAAGTGACGCCAGACCAGGCCAGGTGCCCCAGGCCCTGCTCCATTTCTATATGCACGGGAACCACATTTGGTGTCCAACCGTGTTGCGGGGAATGGTCCAGGTGCTGCAGGCCCTGCCCCGCCCCCAACCTGGATGCATGACATACCCAACCGACCCCTACAACGACTCCGCTCCTCTATGCCGGCAAAGATGACGCGGTTTCCCTTGTACCTCCACTCCATCTGCCCGGACATTTCCCCTGGTCTGGGCCATCGACATCAGGAAGGATAGCGGGGAGCTGGGCCAGGACATACACAAACCCGACCTTTGGAACAGACTCTGTACGATGGCAGCGGCCAGCATGTTGCTCTTTGTGGGGGGCGGCCGAACTGCTGCACCTGGAGCATCCTGCGCTGGTTTCCCAAGCCCGGTGCACCCAGACCAGTCAGAGGCCGCAGTGAACAGCAAGTCTGGGGCCTACCTTCGAACACGGCCGAGGAACAAGTCGACGTGGACAATGACAGCATGCTGGTCCTCCGACAGATGTACCTCACCTAATTAGCCTACAAGGGACTCGCCAGCTGCCATCCACCCCGTGTTGGGTACTCCTTCCTGGAACACCCAAAAGACCCCATGGAGGTAAGCTCAAGCCCTCAGGCACACCGGTGCTTTTTAATTTTATTTCTGTGGGTGACCCGGGCATATATCAAATGGTCCAACCAGCTCCATCACACCCGGGTCAAGTTTGACCAGCGCCGCCTGGGTCAACTGGTGCAAAAAGTGACCACGCTTTCCACAGACTTACCTCTACATCACTGGCAGGAGCTCCGCCGCAACCACCAGAAGCACCAACTGTGGGGGACCTCCAACGCCCAGGTCCTCCAGGTACCGCCCAAACCCACAACACCTGCCCAGCAACCACGGTCCACACAAACTTCCCCCAAACGACCGCCTCCTGAACAATCTTCGGGTTCAGGTACCACCAGAGCCGCCAAGGCCGCCAAAGCCATCGCCGGACTTACCCAGGTGCCAGGGGTGCAGCCGCCTCTTCTGGGGGCCCCCACCACACCAGCTTGAGGATGAATGGTGGGTCAATAAGGTCGGCTATGGTATGGCGAGCGCCCAACTCTACTGGGGCAGAATGGCGCTCTTCCTGAGACTCCTCTACTACATCTTTGTAGAGGTGGACTGGGGCTTCGTCTTCGTGGACGACTTCTGCCGAAGGTGCAGTGTAGGATGCTCCAAGCGATATCAGCCACAGTCAGGTGCAGAGCCGAACAGAAAGGCGCAAGACTACTGTTTCGAAGCGCTGCATAGAATCTACTTTGAAGACGCTTGGCGGTAAGAACCAGTTTTGGATGCACCCGGATCGGACCTTGCCTTACCACCGGAGGCCGGTCTATTAATCCAAGGGTGCTACTGGCCCAGCCAACAGACTGGCGCCCAAATCCTTGCAGTGTCAGATGCGGAAACAGAAGTTGCTGATCACCCAACCGCCTCATTGCCCTCACCAGAGGCAACTGATGTCACCATGGCACAGGGGGAAGCGAGCGATATTGTGTCGGTTAGCAGTTCCGCCCCAGACCAAACAACATTGCCTAGCTCACCAAGTCGAGCTGGCAGCGACTCCCCAATGGACGAAGATGAGGACGCTATTGCCCACGAGGTAGAGGGTGAAAGCCTCAGCAATCGCCCCTCCTCTTCCCAAGTAAGGAAAGCAGCAGACTCATTGGCATCGGAAGGTGAGGAAGAGTGCACCGCCCTTCCACCTTGTGGGGTAGACATCAATGATGATGACTCCTCATCCAACATCTCTGAGTCACCGATCAAAAGGCGGCCAGTAGCCAAAACGGGGTCATGGAGATTTCATTCAAAGAAGCTCCGGCAGTCGACTGGACAAGGACCGGCGCAGCCCCTGGGCAGCATCCCAGAAGAAGCACAGCGGACTGCCACACTGGAGGACCTGGCAAACATATCAGATCCCATGCAGGGGACACCAGTCAGTAGTGACCCTGCCACTCCATCCTACAGCCCCTTTGAAGCACAGGAGCAAGAGGTCATCGCTACAGAGATTGACTTGGCTACTGAACATGCAGAAAGGGAGCAAGGTGGCACGGCAGCTACCGACCTAGGACTTGCTGCAGAACAAGTGGCAATGCATGCTCTATATAGCTACCAAGTAGCAGCCCAGGAAGCAACTACCCCGGGCAGGAAAGGTATTGTGCAACCATCAATACAGATATGCAGTGACCTGCCTCGCGAGTGGCCGATGGCAAGGCTGTGTATTTCATACAAACAAGTGAATCGATATGTCCGCACAGCCCTCTGGAGGCGGGTACCTATTTTGGGCGCATCCCACAAGAACTGCACCACGACCTTATAGGGGACCTGCTACTGGTCAGCAATGCTTTCGCTGCGCCGCTCGCAGAATTGTTTGCCTTCGTTGGGCAGGGCCACCCGCCGTGCGCCTTCATTCCAAAGGAGCAATTAGCCCTCTGTGCTTCCAACATTGAACTACTCAAACGAGCAACAGAAGCTAAAACGGATCCTGCCAAACAAGAGGACGCCAATGAGAATGAAGTTGATGCGCTCACCTTCATGCAAACTGGCATCATGTCCTTTGTGAGAGGAATGACGCATGGAGAGCAAACACTTCCCATTAATGACTTCGTATACCTCCCAGTACAGCTACTCCCTGCCCTAGTACAGTCAATTCTTGACCACCAGCTGAAAAGTGGCCGGGGATACCGCACAAGGTATCCCCCGCCGGACGCTCATGGAGGAGAGTCGGATGCTGACTCAGGCATCACAGGCATAAGGGAACCCTCGCCCATGTATGCGCGGTTGCTCCCCCTCTTTACGGGAACGGCTTTCACCACGGCACTCCTGGGCACTTTACTAGCCCTAGGGACGCCACTTAGCTCAACACCTGGTTGGGATTCGTGATCCACCCCTCATCCCACGAGTCCAAATGGCGGCCCCAAGCACGCTGATCAACGGGGTGGCCATGTCCGCCAAAACCATCAAGAAGGCCATGGGCCGGATCCAGTTGTTGCCCATTGACCAAATCATTGTTGCAGCCATTCTGGGCTTGGAAGATGGCCGTCCAGCATCCACCCAAGGTGGTCCGTATGTTGGCATGCCTTTTGAAGGAGCTCTTCACCCTTCCCTTTGAGCAGTACTCCCCATTCCTGCCAAAGTCTCCCTGGTGGGGATGCAGCGATGCCAGTGCCTCAGACGTACGGGGATGGTGCAGTGATCCGCCCCATCCCTCCAAGGCTGAGGTCTTTTGGTTCCACTACCAATCATGCCTGCTGAGCACCCTTGGGCATTCAAGGGTGGCAACCCCCAGAAACGAATCGCTGCTCTTGAACTGCTGGGTACCCTGCTCCTTTGCAAACACCTGATCGCCCAACAGGGCATGGTGCCGGGTCGGGCCCGGCTACCTGTGGGCAGCGACAACTCCGGCAACATCTTCAGCTTACTGAACCTCTCGTCCAAGAAACCACGCGCCGCGGCCCTCCTGATGGAACTGGTGCTCACTCTTCACCGTGAGGGCTGCAATTTGGCTCCGAGCCACATACCCCAGGAATTCAATACTTGGGCGGATGAATTCACACATCCAGATTTTCAGGGATTCTCATCGGACCGCCGGCTACGGGCTCCGACAGATCTCTTTTCCTTTTCTCTAGCAACTCGCCTCTTGTCGAGTACAAATTTTTCCTAGCTTCCCACCCAAGATCCCATGACCGGATCCGGTGGGAGTCCTCCTGACCCCAGGCCCCTGGTCTCCTGACAGGTGCCGCTGGCCCTGGATGGAGACCAGGGGCATCGGGTGTGTCAGGCCGGAGCGGGTGAGTGAAACTGCCTGCCACACCCTGATTTCAACGTGGAACGGTCACAAGGTGACCATCAAGGACGGGGTCTGGGGAGGACCCATGCATCTTTCAAAGCACTACGACAAAAGGCTTGCTGCTTTTGTCTTTTGTTGCTTGGGGATGTTTTTGACTTTTGGGTACGTAGGGGAACATTCTTTGGTTCACAGCATTGCCTTTACTCCAGGGGGTAGATAGCTGAGGATGTGCAGCTCATCTCTCACTATCCAGACGTTCTGGGCTCGCCCCGCTTAGGCGAGGGCAACCGCTGGAACCCAATCTGTTTGGAGGCCATCGCGCTGACGCAGTGCTTTTGGCGATACCGGGGCCGAGCAGAGATGGTCTTTTCCATCAAGTCCTTTGATGAACCTTGACGGACAAATTGCTTTCCTTAAGAAAACAGGTAGATTGAAGGCAACTAGAAGAGCAGTGCTCACGGGCTAGGAGTGCAACGTGTTGCAAGCCACCCAAACGAATTGAATGACATGGGCCTTCACTTCCTTCACCTTGCGTTCCAGGAGTTCCTTGTTTCGGTGAAGCATCAACAAGCTGGCCTCGTGCGTTTTCTGGAGCTGGCGCCTAGCTCGGCTCCGTCCGTCCGGCTCCCGGCCGTGAACTATGGGGGGCCCATGGGCGATCCATCTCTGCCGCTGGTGGGGCGCTTCCGATGGCACACGGGGAAGCTCTATTGGCACCTGGCTGCTGGGCGACCTGAACAGATCTTATCGGTGAACACCACGAGTGCTTGGCCAGAGCCCCCAGCGCAGATGGCGAACTTCTTCCATCCAGACGATTTGCGGGTGAACCACTACGTAGATGCACTGGGGCCACGTGGCTCGCAGGTCTTCAAGCATGAGGACCCTCCGGAGGTCTTGGCCTGGGCCGTCGGACGCCCCAGGGAAACCTCAGCAGAGTCGATGCTGGGGCGGCTGGTGGCGGACAGTTTGCACAGCTGGAGGCTGGGAGATCTTGAGCTCATCAACCGCTCGATCCTTCGGATGTCGCCTCCCTCCCGTGTGGCACTGGCAGTGGCTCCGGCAGCAGAGGAGCAGGAGGTCATGAAGGTGCTGCAAGATGGTTTCCATACGGGTGATGCAGATAGGGATGGATTGCTGGCATTGGATGAATTCGAGAAGCTGGCGCTACCTTCAGGGTGGGATGCCCACTTACGTCGGCGTAACTTCCATTACATCGGCCTGTTCCTTCATGCCTGGGTGGCTGAATCCTCTGCGCAGAGCATCTTGGAGGAGATTGATCAAGACGAAGATGAGATGCTCTCGTTTGATGAATGGTCCCAAGGGATGCTTTGGTTGTGCCGGCGCCGGGACCTCATGGCGGCGGCCCAAGACTTGCTCAGCTGGTCGAAGCGGAAGCCATGGAAACAGGAGGATCTGGCCCGAACATCGGGAGCACCCAGGTGGGAAGAAGGAGCAAGGCATTTGTAGGACAGACTCTATTCAGGCCCATTCAGTGTTGGTAGATTGATCAAGGTGTATGGAAGCAGATGCCTTTGGAATTGGGGACCAGATAACTGGGTTTCAAGGGCGTAGTCGCACAGGGCACAGGGCTGAGTGCCACAAGATAAGGATAGAAGTATTGGTTCATGTCAAAGCCAGCAAGTGTTGGGATTCATTTGCTTGCACTTGGATTTTTCATCCAAAGCCGTGAGAAGCTGTGATCGGACCTGATGAGAGTTTGATCGGAGGGGTCCAGAGTGGACTTTCCGCCCTGCCACCCCCGAAATGTTTGGTATCCGTTTGGCCCTAAAGAAGGATTCTTCCAAGAGCACCATGGGAGGATGGGCAGCGTTCGAGAGGCCTGTGAGCATCATCGCATCCCGATTTCGCGCTCGGAAGCTGAAGCACGTGCCTGAGTGTAGTTTGTCGGCTGAGTCGGCTGGTGGACCGCGGATGCCTCCAGTTGTAGCTTGGTGCCTCCAGGGTTCTGACCGTTGCAAATACAGCTTTCAATGTTATAAGTTGAGTCGCATGGTACGCACTTAGGGCCTAGGGTTGTTTTTCCATAGCTTCTGAAACCTCTGACGTTGGACCTTTGTTTTCCCAGGCCTTGTTTGCCCGCCTGGGACGCAGCACGCCTTTGGGAATGCGCCTGACCTTCCAGGCTCATGTGAAGCTCATGTGCTTTTCTCGAAACATTCTGCATGAATAAGTGGCAATGCTATCACGATCCTTCACAGCTATGGCTACAATCTCCAAGCATATAGAGCTTTTGTATAGAATTGTGTACCAGGGACGAGGAACCTCATCAAGTGATTTAGTAAAGCGCAGTTCCCGACTTGCCGACTTGCTGATTGAGAGATCGCTGGCCGCACAGTTTGTCCAAGATGTGCACCTGCACGGATGGTCTGATGTGGCCAGCGACCACTCACTCACCGCAGTTATATGCTATCGATGACAATTGTTTGCGAATCATTCTGTTGCGATCCAGCGCTGCCCAACGCAGGATCTAGAAGCAGAGTTGCTTGGCTGCAGAGTGTCCAGCTGTGTGCAGTGGGGCCACTGAACTTGAGCTGAGCATTTGCGTGCGAGGAGTGTGCGCTGCGTGACGGTTCAAGGGAATCTAAAATGGTGGCCCCACAGCCAGTCGAATTTGTTGCCCTCCAGGTTGGGCAGAAAGTTGGAAAGCCTTGAGGACAGGGATGCGTGGGCTGTGGATCAGAAAGTCGAAGCAAACCTGAAGATTTTGTTTCTGGTGTGTCTTTGTTGATTGCACATCAGCCGTTCAGATTGGGACTGCATCCCAGCCCGGCAAGCAAGGGAAACAAGGAAGAGAGTTTGCTCGGAGATGACCCGACAGGAGGTGTCCAGAGCAAGAGAAATGGTAGTTGTCAGGGCCTCAACGCAGCAATGGTTGGCCGCATGCCGCTCTTGCCATCCCTCTTTCAGGGTTTGACGATTTTACTCATCATTTTCTTGCAACCTAAGGCAATGAACCACGTGCTGGTTGAAAAGCATGGCACAAGTCTCTTGGCAAGTGGCGCTAGAGGTAAGGTTTTGCATGGCTATGGTATGCTATGGTTATATATATATATAATTTGTAAGCACCCTTGTCCCTGTAATAGCAACAAACATGTTATATGACATTTTCACCCTCCCTGAGGGAGCACCAGAGATGTGTGTGGTTGTTTGCAGTCCACTTTTCGCAATTCTTGAGATTCAGTTGTTGTGAGCATCAGAAGCCAAACTATTTATATATAATGTACAAGTTGCCAAATTTTTGGTGAACTGGCCTGTCAAGTTTGGATGCTTTAGCCCCCATCCATGAGTCATGTTCCATTTTGATAAGCCTCCAGACCTCCTTTCAAACATGTTTGAAACGATTCTGACCATGCCTTTCAACTACATATTGTTGTTGATCCCTTTGAATATTAACGTGAAATTTCAGAATAAACTAAGAAGGGTAGTCCAGGCAGGCCAGGCTAATCCCTGAGCTCCTGAGTTCCACGGTCTCTTGGGTCAGTGAGCTGTGTTTTTTCTTTGGGCACGCAGGAGGTGAGCTACTTGATTTGGCCACTTGGGCCACTTGAGCCACTTGAAAAGCCCAAGTGGCTCAAGTGGCCCAAGTGGCTGAGGTGGATTGCTGTGACTTGAAGAAATTTAAGTGGTCGATGTGGCCCAAGTGGCCGAAGTGGCAGAGGAAGAGGAAGGACTTAGAGTCTAAAAGCAACCTTGACAGAAGGTTTGGAGAGAAGAGGTTCGATATTCAATATGTTTCAATAGTCGATACGATAGTCTTGGAAAGGACAGTTTCGATATTCAATATGTGTCAATAGAGTTCTACATATATAGGTTTAAGAAAGGGGATAGGTTTAGAGGAGGCTCTATAGATTTATCAAGAGGAGATAGGTTTCAACAGAAGAGAGTCTGAAAGGAAGTTCTAAGGTTGAGAGAGTCTTAGAGAGAAGAGATACGGTAACCTAGAAGAGACTTGGTATTAAATATGTATCAATAGACGTTCTTTTTGGCTGTAAGAACAGGGGATAGGTTTCCAGAATGGCCGCTGTTGGTATTTTCCAAACGGCGCGATTGAATGCGTATTGCAATGAATTGGGCGCCAAAACGCACTCAGCAAAACCTTGAAAGCAAAACTGCACAGGTTTTCAATAACAAGTCAAACCAGGAACCCAAATGCATCCAACTGCATGATTCCAAACCAAACACTTATTCGGACACATCCTGTCAGTGTGTCCTTCTTTGATTGCGAACTGCATCTATTTCATTACCAAATGCATTCAAGAGTCCACGTGTTTGATTGCAAACTGCAACCAGCTGAATGCAAACTGCAATCAAGCCAATTGCACACTGCAATGAACTGAATGCAAGTTTCAATGAAGCTGATTACAAACTCTACGTTCAAGTTGATTGCGGTTGCAGTGTGTTACTTTTCATTGCACTTTGCATCCTCATGGATGTAGTATGCGTTCAAGAATTGAATCTTTCATGGTTTCACCGCAATCTTGTTCAATGTTCATTACGTGTTACACTTAGAAACGGAGTTATCAATATCTATCTATCTATCTATCTATCTTTCTGTCTTCTATCTATCTATCTATCTATCTATCTATCTGTACGTATATTCCAAATGTCAAGCGGTGTTTAAGGCAAATTTTGTTCCCAGATTTCCGGCAGCTGGCCTTGTTGCCCATTTTCTTTGGTCGGATGTCATGTAACTTTTGGGCGTGTTGTTCCCATAGTTTTTTGAACTAAATTCAACAATTGTCAGCTTTTGGATGCTTTTGGCATCTTTCCTTGAATATTATTTGCCAAATGTCAACAATAGGCCTTGAAAGTTCAGGTTGCCGTTTTTGCCGGCCAAATTTCGCGGTTTCTGTTCATTTCTCCTCAGATTTCAGACAGTGACGTGTCTGAAAAAAGTCTGTTAATACAGATTTATGGCATAGACAGAGAGCTGTATATGCGCTCCGTTTATTTGCAACACTCTTCAAACTATCTCAGTCGGATTTCATGTTAAATGTTCGAACTCATTGTACGAGTTGCCAAACTTCAGACGGAAGGAAGGAAGGTTGGATATTTCACGTTTCCGTTTGTCTGGCCTGATTGGAGGTAGTGAAGATTGAAGGTGTGTTTCTTCAGGTTTGCCCGGCCAGAACTCAGCGTTGACTTCTACGCAAGTCGCAAGTCTTAATTATGTATGTATCCACCAGACATCAGAGAGGAAGGTGTTGTTTTTGTTCAATATCGTTTCGCCATAGCTGCATGGGTGTTTTATTGTTCCAGTCCCAACTAAATTTTAAAACCACCTTAATTTGTGTCGGCGTAATTACACTGCTTATGTAAACGTTGCACGTAGATCTCAAAAAGTAGACCCGTCGAATAATCACTCTCCGAGTTTCCAAGGCAAGTTTTCCGCAGGAGTCTTACAAGACCATGGGTTTCAAAATCCATGTGTTTGTCTTTTCTGAACTGTATTGCAAGGGTTGTGTCCAATAACCATGGAACTAACACATACAAGAACCATACCAACAAAATACTCACCAATGCACTTCAATAGAAAACACACATACAGTAATACACAATCACGCGCACGTGGGCCCGGAGGACAAAACTTGAACACGGTAAAAGTTTACAAATCAAGATCAAAGATGCATGTGGCATTCAATGTTAAAGATGCACATTGCCAACTGCAATGTGTTGATTGCGGCTTGCATTGTTTGGAGTATATAATTTTGTTCCTCATCATAGGGAGTGCATCTACCCCGGATTTTGGGCATAAGGACCCCCCGAGGCGTGAATTAGTCGGCGACTATGTTTTAGTGTTTCAGTCTTAGACGGTGTAGTTTGACCAGCGAACTTTCTGTCAGGCAGCGAACGGAGGGCAGTCGAACCCATTACACCAGTTCAATGTGGCGAACTTTCGGCCAAAAAGCTAAAAGTTCAACGCGTTGGAACTTTTGACCAAGAGTTCAATGCAAAGTTCAACGCATAAGGACTGTTGGCCAGAGTCTTAAACGCATTGACCTTTTTGCGCGCAAGTTTTGCAATGAAATTCTATGCATTGCGGTTGTTTCACTGAAGTCTTGGCATGGGTCATTGGCAAGAAAATGCAGCGCATTGGGTCTGAACGTTTTTTTTTTCTTGTTGTCAGAGTTCAATGCATATCTTGTTTAGGATCCCTTTTTGTAAAAGTATGCTACTGTAACTCTTTGGTTGAAATTACGGGTCCAAACTTTCATCCTTTCCTTAGGCTACACGCTCGGTACATTGAACTGTTGATTGAACTTTTGCATCAAGCTTTCAAACTCAAACCTTGATGTTCATCGATTTTTCTTGCATCAATTGGACGGAACCATTTTGAAAGTAAACAGTCTGCCATGCAACGTGGGAAGCAGTGTTCAAGGGGAAACACGAGAAACGAGCTCTAGAAAACCTTTGTTTGGAACTCCGTCCCAAAAGACATGCAAGAG